AAGACCAATTAAGAATTCAAACATCATGATGATAAAGAAGATTAATTATTTCACCTGCATTGTGAATTGGAGAGTTATTTTGTTAAAAATATAATTTACGATCTGCTACAAAAATATGAAGAAAAAGATTTATTTCAAGAATTTCTTGATATTTTTTAGCATTGAAATTTTCAGTAAATAAGACAAGTACAATTGGTTCTTGTATACTAAAAGCACCCCAAGCATGAATCTTATAGAGCTACTTTACTATACTTTTATGTGGTTGCAATATTTCATGATGATATCTTATTAGCTAAGTATTTCTGAACATTTAGAGAATTATTTTATTAAAAAAAATTGTGTGAGACCAATTTTGATGGATATATTTCTGTATCCATTCAAAACAAGCTATAATGTAATAGGACTATAAAAGAGAGATTCATAATAGATGATAAATATCAAATCAAAGATTTTTTTTAAAGTACGTTAAATTATACAAATAGAAACTTTCAAGTTAGAATCTTTTTATTTAAGTCTTTTAGTCATTTCAGCTACAGTAATAGCATTATTGATCTGTATCAATCAGCCAAGGATGTGATATTACTCAACTATGAGAATTAGGGATCTTCCAGATCTGGAAAGTGATATAATACTTGATAATTTTTTAATCTGATTGATTATATCATATATTATAGATTTAGAAAAATCTGTTATTCACATAATTTCTGCAGATTTCCAGATATTATTTGCCTAAAGCTGACTTACTACTATTTTTTATGCTTCATGCTTGGAAATAGATGATATTTTTTTTTATTTTTTTGTTAACAGATGCAAAAACTAATAATAAAAATGGTTACATTATTATATTTATTATTAAATAAAGTAATTTCAATTTTATACATGTATTAGTTTAAAATTAGTAACATTACATAATGTTTTATGCATCAGATCAACATTTCAAATATTTATATCAACCACTATACTAAAGAAAAATAAAATTAAAATAGTAATAACTAGCATACATTCAGATTTACTTGCTAAATACTTTGAATTTAATAGAACTTATCAATAAATAGCTATTAGATATTAATGAAATGAAATGAAAATAGATATAAAGAACTTTATTAGATCTTGTTAAACTTGTCAAAGAACTAGTGAACAAACTATAAAATAACCTTTATATTCTATTAAAGTTGAATAATCTTTTAATAGAATTGTAATTAATCTTATTAACCCTTGTAAAGTAATTAAGAAAAAAAATTGATATATTGCTGTAGCAATAGACTTACTCACAAAATAGCTAAAACAAAAGTAATTCTAAATAAAGAAGCTAGTATAATTGTCAAATTTATTTTTAAAAAAATAATTTATAGATATGGATATTCTAAAAAATTATAATTTGATCAAGAAATTGAATTTATAATTCAAATAATTAAAGAACTCATCACTTAATTTGGAATTAAACACAAGTTTTTATCACTATATTATCCACAGATTAATGAAATAGTAGAATGATTTAATAGAACTTTATGTAGAATATTTCAGAAATATTGTATTATATTAAATGAATAATAGAATATATATATATTATCAGTATTATTTGCATACAGAACACTTTAAAATAATACTATCAAATATAAATCTTTCTTCTTGATTAATAGAAGAAATATTTGATTATTTATTAATTTAAAATATCCATTATCAATAAAAGAAAATAATAATAAAGAAAATAAAATATTAGATCAAATATTTTTTTTAATTATCACTTGCCAAATGATATTAACATAATATAAAATCAAATTAAAAGATAGCAATAACAAATAAAAAAAACATAACTCAAAATTACAAAGAATTATATAATTTAAAATTGGTGATAAAGTTTTAGTATATAATATGAAATAATATGTTACTCACAGAAATAAATTTCAGTCATAATAGAATACAGAATGATTCTACATTCATGAAACTCTTGGTAATGGAGCTTACAAATTGCAAAATCAACATGACTAACTATTACGTAAAACTTTTAATAGTACTTAACTGAAATCTTATCACAGTAGAAAAGAATACTTTGAGTCAAGAATAATTATTAAATACATGGAAATATCAATAACAGAAGAGAAAAATCAAGCTCTCAAAAAGTTTGGAAGAAGAGATCATCAAAGAGAAAGCAAACTAAATCTTACAGGATAGATATGAGTTTAGTAAGAATCAAGTAAATATCTTATTCACAATTCAGATAAATAGATAATATAGAAGTACTTTTGATAAAATCTTAAATATTGTGATTTTTAGCAAATCCTAAAAAAGAATAGAGAAAGAAACTATTAAAGATATAATATAATAGATTTTATGAGATAAACTTAGTATTAGAGATATAAGAGCTGAAACTTATATCTTAGTCCTATTAGCAAAAAATGCTAATGGTAGCTTATCATATCTTACTTATCTTCATAGAGAATTAAGAAATCTTAATACATTACTTGAGATAATTAAGACTATGAAATTTCTAAATATTACAGAAGATGCCAATAAAATTCAGAGTATTAATCAGAAAAAAGCTAAAGCTAAACATATTGATTATTCAGATAAATTTATATTAGAATCAGTTAAAAAAAGATTAGATACATATAATATTAAAACTTTATCTAATTATTAGACTCTTGCTAATATTATAATAATGCTTTGTATTCATTCTGCTAAACTTAAAACTTAATATATTACAGATACTGAAGTGATAGATTATGCAAAGAATCAAGATCAGTTAGATATTCTTAGAAAATTCAGATCTATAGAAAAGAATCAAGAACAAGCTAAAAAACTACTCACTTAGATTCAGCATACTATATTATCTGATCAAATAGATGATTCAGATAAGTCAGAAGTTAAATAGTTTAATAAATTCTTAAAAGATTATGATTTAATTCCTAAATATTTATATAAATTAAGAGTAATTTATAATATAATAGTACATAGAATAAAGAATTTAGTATACCTATATTATTGCTAAAGAATATCTATATTATTCATCCAATAATCATACTTCTCTAGTATAGAATTATGTTATAGTAAATTATTAAAAAAAAGAATAGACTTCAGAGTAAGCAAGATCATTCTATCTTTATGATAATGATAACTAATTATGTTTCTTTATTTTTATTGCAGAGCAAGCCCAGAGAGTGTTATTATATAGCATGACTTTTATCTATTACATTTATAATAAAATCTTCATCATTATTAAATGATTTAGATGAAAATAAGAATGAGAACTCAGATGTAGTATTATTTAAAATTTTCTTTTTTCTTTTAGTCTTGCATGATATATAATTTCTTTAAGAAATATTAGGATTTATTATTAAGTTAATAATTTCTAGTCTAATCTCAAATTTCACTATCTTCAGTAATTGGTAGAGAAAAATCAAAATTCTTCTATGTAATATCTGTTTAATAATTTTAGATACTAATTTTGAGATATTATTGCTGGAGATAACTGTTTTATAGCTATTATTAATCATTAGATTTTAACTAAATTATTATTAATATACAGAAAAAATATAATTAAATATATTATCATAATAAAACATCACAATGATAACTTTATCCTGTAAAATTAACAAAGTACCAGTTACAACTATATTAGATTCTGATGCTAATTATAATATTATAGTTAAGAAGGTAGTAAATAAATTAGATTTAGAAATTGATGATATCTTTGATGTAGAAATATACATATCCATTAGCAAACTTGATATAGTAGGAGTAATTCATAAAATTTCTATTTCAATCCCATCTCAGGGTTCTAAATGGAAACAAGTAAAAGTTACTAATATTTTTGTTATTAGTATTCCTGAACCTGTACTAATGCAAATTAATTTATATCTCTAGAAAGTAATAAATTATAATTCAATAAATTAAGAATAATTATAAATAATATAAATAATATTATTATTTGATTTATTATATGTAAATAAATTAAATAATAGTATCTTTGTGATAATTTGATTATTAAATATCACAAAATCTTGGTATTCCCTTTATTATTCCAAATCCAGTAAATAATATAAGTAAAGCTTGTTAGGTTAGCCATGGTTCCAGAAAAATGCAATAAAAGTAGACTTTCAAAATAAAACTCTTAAATTACTTAATGAAACTAGTTGTAAGATTAAATGCAATTGAGAATATCTGGAAAATGTGTAATATATATATCTAAAATTAATTATTCAAACTCGATTATTTTTTTCATTTATAATATATATCATTAATATATTCGTAAATACCCTTGTTAAAGAAAAAATTCCAAGTAAAAGCATTAATAAATATAATATCTAAATATAATATAATGATCTGTAATTATAATATAATATAGATATCATTCTGCGCATAATATAAATATTTAAGACTTGATTATTAAGCAAATTAATCCTGCTATTTCTACTCTGTCATACTATTTGTACACAAAATAATAACTATAAAAATCAAAAATCAAATAAGATATTTTAATATTCCCTAGTTTAAGGCTATGAGAACTCTATATTTATTTCTATTTAAGTTAGAAAACTTAAATGAATCATGGCAGAAGAAACTTATTGTTGATTTCATAATACCTTTTAGATAAGGAGAGAAAAAGCAGAAAAAAAAGCTTAAATAAATAAAAAGAAGCTTAAACAAATTCAAAAATCATATTCTATATAGAATGAAAGGAGAATTAACATCTTGCAGTCCAACAGGAAAAATAGTATTCCTATATAAGTTTTAACTAATACTAATTATTATATTTTATGATGCTTGGTATCTCTTTTAGAATTACATATATTGGCTCTTAAAGAAGATAACAGTAGAGGAGCAAATCAAATATCTACATGAGAGTCAAAAATGCTTAGCACAGAGTATAGTGATAATACAACAAGATCCAAAATTATATCCGATAACAATGAATTTCACATACTCAAATCAAGTATCAAAATGGAAAGGCAAAGATGTGAAATTCATGATGGATTTATCGATTCATTGTGATTTAACAGTGAGAATGGAGGTAGTAAAGACAAGAAAGGAGAAAATACAGATATTATGGTAGACAAAAAACTGGAAGAATGTCCTAACACTGAGACAATTGAAAGAATACAAGCATCCTTTGGGAAACTGCTCAGAATCAGTTCTCTGAAAGGTGATGGTTGGAAAAAGATTGTCCCTAGAAAAATGTGTTGCCTTGTATACATAGACTCTTGCTTTACCAATAAAGGAAAATCAATTACTGAAAATCCTATAACCATGTCTCAAGTGCAATTATGTAAAGAAAAAAATGGAAGAACATCATATTGCAATGATTCGCTCATCTTAGTTGATGTATTTAAAGATAATTCTCATATTGCAATCTTGGTTGATTATGATGTTCTTGATGGTAATCCTAAAAAACTAATTTATCATATAAGATGTGTTGCTGATTTTGACTTTGATCATATAATTATTATTGGAAAGACAGAGTATGAAATAATCTTTTTAGATTATTATGGTCATATTTTTCAATGGGAAAATATGAGTTAAACATTATGGTCACTTGGTGATTCTTCTGAAGAAGCATCAAAAAGCATAGTTAAAGGGGTAGATCAGTTATATTAGTTTGAATATAATGAAACTGTATATGAGCAAATTATAAAATAAGAAGATTATTAAATTTCTTTTCGATTTTTATACAGTCTAATAAGCACGTTTAAGATAATATAACTTTGAATAATAATAAATCAATTTGTAATAACTACATTCCTAATCAAAGTAATTTGAATAAGATTATCTTACAAAATGGCCTAAAGTTAAAGCAATTCCAGATTAGAAAGCTACTACAATCACAAAATTTATCTTTGAAGAAATAATCTATAGACATGGATATTCTAAAGAAATTCAATCAGATAATGGATTAGAATTTGTTAATGAAATAGTTAAGAAATTATCAATAAAATTTGAAATCAAACATAAATTTTCTTTATCTTATCATTTACAAATGAATAAAATAATAGAATATTTTAATAGAACTCTATGTATGATTTTATAAAAATTAACAATAACACATAAATAAGAATAGGATACCTTTATTCCTACTGCTCTTTTCACTTATTGAACTAATTAAAATTCAATAATAAAACATGAATCATTTTTCTTGATCTATAGATAAAATTCTAAATTATCAATTTTGGAAGAAGATTTTACAGAAGAAGAAAAATTAATATAGTAGATATATAATACAATAAATCAATTACCACAATAAATATTAGAAGTAAAGCAAAATATAGAAGAATGACAGTTATGATATTCTCAAATATATAATGATATTTGAAATTGGAAATAAAGTATTAATATTTGATATGAAACAATACTCAGTAATTAGAGATAAATTTCAATCTACCTGGAATAAAGAATGATACAATATTTATAATTATACTGGATATAATTCTTACAAAATTTGTGATCAAAAAGAAAAAGTTCATAAGTATTCTATTAATGGAAGATAATTCAAATATTATCATGATCATCAAGATTACTTTAAATTACAAATTATTATTAAGTAACTCACATTGATATTATCTCTTTAATTTTTGTTATTCCTATATTCAAAATTCTTTTTTATCTTATTTTTATCTATTTTTATAATTATTCTTACCCCAATATTTTTAATATCTTATTACTTATAGTTGATTTTTAGTTTTAAATTTTATATAAATACCCTTTTTATTTCTTTTTCTTTTTCTTTATTCTTTCATATTTTTACTTTTATTTATTACTTTTTACTTTTATTATCTTATATCTTTTCAAATTTTATTATACTCTTATTTTTATTATTTCTAACAATATCTCAATTATCTACTTGGATTATATCTTTAATGATTAAATCTCTTGAAGAGATGTATCAAGAAATACTCATTCAATAACCTTTTGGAATAATTACTTTTTCAACTTATGAATTACTCACTTATGATAATTCAGGACAAGAAACTAATATTACACTCTTGAATTTACTCATGCAACTTGGATTTACTCAAGATCTTGAAACTGAAATACTTTTCTCTTGAATACTCAAACAACTATTGAACCTCTTGAAATTCCTATTGAACCAGTTAATATAACTATGGACTTAGACTTTGACTGATTAAATATCTTTATTATTACATTATTTGAAGACAAATTTAAAGTTAATATTAAATAAGAAGATATTGAAGAAGAATCAGAATTCATAAGTTCTGATAGTTTGATCACTTCTGAAGAACAATTTGAAGTATCCATATCTGTATTGAAAGATATTAAGCCTACTTTGAATAAAGACTGACTGACTCAACTGAAAGAAATCATATTATCTATTTATAATAATCTCTTGAGATATATACTCTCAGTTTAATTACAGAAATATTCAAAAGAAATGTCAGAAATCAAAAAAAATATCAAGGATACTCTTGAAAAGTACATATATAATAGACCATATAATATTACTCACAAAGTTTTTTTCATATATAATTCTGAAGAAGAAGTCTTTGATAATTGATTTGAGTTTATACTAATCAAGTTGTATCACTTGAACAAGAAAGAATTATTGAAGATTATTAATTAATTTTTGCAGGAGCAAAAATTTTCTGAAGGACTATATATTACTATAATAACATAAAATTTTTTAATTTCTTAATCTTTTCCTAATTATACAAAATCATATATTTCTATATTTTTTATTCATTTTATAAATATTTCTATTTCTATATTATATATTACTATATTTATTATTATAATTCTATTTTAAAATACTATATTTTATTTAATATTTGAGATCTATATTTTATTATTATTTGTAATATAATATTTATGTATATAGTAGAATAGTATAGTAAAAAATTATTTTAAATTTTAATAGAACAGTTATACTTGGATAATAATTTTAAATATCTTTTTTCATTCTTTAATATTCTCTCATATTTTTTCACATCTTTCAATATCTTTTCACATCTTTCAATATTTTTCTATATCTTTTAATATTTTTTCATATTTTTTAATATTCTCTCACGTATTCTAATATTCTTCAATATTTTTTGATATCTTTCAATATACTTTAATATAACCCATTTATAATTATTTATACTATAGTATTCTAATTATAATTTATATATTAGATAGTATTAACTAATAATACTATAATAATTTATATATCTGAAAAATATATAAAAGAATCTGCTATTCCAACTTGAAATAAATAGTTTTGGATTGAATTATTTGGAAAATATAATTTAAAAGCTTATTATCATAATAATAGTAATCTT